ACACCCACATAAACTCACCACCCACCCCAACACAAATACACCATTACACACTCACCATCACACCAAACCTACACTCAACCACTAACAACCATACACTCAACCACTCACACCACCATTACACTCATCACTCACAAAACCACCACTTACACACCACACTCACTAACCACAACACACTCAACACTCAATACACTCACACCCACCATTACACTCACACTCACAAACCACCATTACACCACTCACTACACACCACTACATCAATCACACCACACCACCATCACTCACTACACCATTACATCACCACTCACACCTTACACTCACTCACACACCACCACTAACTCACCACTCACACAACTACACTCACCACTCACACCACCATTACACTCACCACTCACACTCACCACCTACACTCACCACTACACCACTACTACACTCACCACTACACACCACCATTACACTCACACTCACACCACCATTACACTCACACTCACACCACTACACTCACCACTCACACACCCTACACTCACCACTCACACCAACATTACACTCACACTCACACCACCCATTACACTCACCACTCACACCACTACTACATCACCACTCACACCATATACACTCACAACTCACACCACCTTTACAATCACCACACACCACCACTACACTCACCACTCACACCCATACTACACTCACACTCAACACACCATTACACTCACCACTCACACCACCACTACACTCACCACTACTTACACTCACCACTCACACCACCATTACATCACCATCACTCACAACTACACTCACACTCACACTTCACACTCACCACTCACACTCACCATACACTCACCACTCACACCATTACACTCACCACTCCACATCATTACACTCACACACTACAACACACACCACTACACTCACCACCCACCACCACCATTACACTCACCACTCACACCATTACACCATCACCACACATCACCACACACATTACACTCACCACTCACACCACCCATTACACTCACCACTCACACCACCATACACTCACCACTCACACCATTACCTACACTCACACCACACCATTACACTCACACTCACACCACCACTACACTCACCACTCACACCACCATTACACTCACCACTCACACCACCATTAACTCACACTCACACCACACTACACTCACCACTACCTACTACATCACCACTCACACCACCATTACACTCACACACACTCACACCAACCAATTACATCACCACTCACAACCACACTACAACTCACCACTCACACCAACCATACACTCACCACTCACACCACCACTACACTCACCACACACCACCATTACACTCACCACTCACACACCACCATTACACTCACCATTCACACCACCATTGCACTCACACCACCAATTACACTCAACACTCACACCATACCATGCACTCACCACCTTAATTACACTCAACCAACTACACCACCATTACACTCACACCAAATTACACTCAACACTCACACCACCATTACACTCACACTTAATTACACTCACACTCACACCACCATTGCATCACACCTTAATTACCTCAACACTCACATCCACCATACACTCACACCCATAATTACACTCATCACTCACACCACATTACACTCACCATCACACCACCATTGCACTCACCATAATTACACTCCACTACACCACCATAACTTCACACTCACACCACCATTACACTCACCCACTCACCCACCATTGCACTCACACAATAATTACTCAACACTCACACCACATCACTCACACCATATTACCAACACTCACACCACCATTACACTCACACCATAATTACACTCAAACTACAACACCACTTACACTACACATAATACTCAACACTCAACACCATTGCACTCACACAATAATACTCAACACACACCACCTTACACTACACTAATTACACTCTACACTCACACACCATTACTCACACTAATTAATCACCACTCCAACCATTACTCAACCACTCACACCATCATTACACTCCACATAATTAACTCAACACAACAGCCCCACTGCATCACACCATAATTACACTCAACACTCACCACATTCACTCACACCATAAGACACTCAACATCACACCACATACACTCACCACTCACCAACTAATGCACACTCACACACTACTACAGTACATCCTTCTCCTCCTTACACTGCACGATGGAAGGTGAGCGAATAGTAAAGGGAAGGAGGCAAAGGGAACGAAGAAAGACTAAGGGTAGGGAGAAAAAGAGGAAGAAGGGGGAGGGGTGAGAATAAAAATTGAAGAGGTTATGCGAATGAAGGGGAAGAAACGGAAAGGAGAGAAGAAGGAATAAGATTGAAGGGAAAGAGAGGAGGGTAGATGGGAGCAGGAAGGGTGAGGGGATGTGAAGAAGGTCGCTGCACACTTAACAATAATGCTACGAGCTGTATACAATATCAAAGAGCATAAAAAATATTGAACTTGAGATTTGAATGAACATGCATGAGCGAGGTGCATCGGGGGGGTGGGGGGGGGAGGGGTATCTAGTGGAGAGGAGAGAGAGACAGAGTGAGGGATCTGAGAGAGAGAGACAGAGTGTCTGGGAGGGAGAGAGAGAGAGGAAAGGAGAGTCTGGGAGAGAGGGAAAGGAGTAAAGTGAGGGGACAAGGGGAGGGGGGGGAGCAGGTGAACAAGCGATAACGTACACCAACAATAACAGTGTGTAGGTACTGAGACCGTTGTCAGTCAAATAAAACAGGCAACAAGTTCGAAGGCGATCTGTTTCTTACCTCAATGGCAGAGCTTTCGATGACTACCGAAGGGGATACAGGTTTGAGTCTCAGGCAGGGCGAGACATGTGGATAAGTCTCCTCACACCTATAAGAAAAGCCTGGCTGCGAAAACAGGATATCAATCTAGCGATAAGCGGACGTAGGATCGAGCCTTCATGAGTCCTTGCTCTGAATGCCCCACACGGATTTACAGCTTCACGTAACTGTATTAATGCAAGTTTTGTCCCTGTTCGCCTAGAAATCAATAATTACCCAGCTTTAGTAGCATCCCAAGGGATGATAGTATACCACAGCTGTTAGTGGCATCCCAGGGAATGATAACATACCACAGACCGGGTCAGGTTTTGAAACAGACTCACACCAGCTTCATTTGCAAATTCATCTGAGATGAGTTAGTGTGAAAAGCTGCCTTGTAGTCGTTGGTGATAACCTTCCTGTGTATAGAAATACACCAAGTTGGGCGCATCTTATTAGGTCGACACGTTGGCCTAATGGTTTTAGGACTGACTTGCCATGGGTTCTAACCTCCATGCGAGTTTTTTTTTTTTTTGTTTACAATTGTGTCACTCCGATTTCGCGAGCCACTTGAAAGACGTCGCAAGTATAACAGCTTCTCACAGCCTGTAAATCCAACTGTATAAACAAAATACAGTTTTTAGCAACTCGAGGGTTGGTTAGGATAGGTTAGGATAGGTTAGGTTAGGATAAGTTAGGTTAGGTTAGGTTAGGTTAGGTTAGGTTAGGTTAGGTTAAGGTTAGGTTAGTCAGGAAACAGGCAAGTGTTTCCCTGAAGTGGGTCTTAGTCATACGATGACCCACACCTCGAGCTTTTGGTCATCTGACCGAGGCCTTCCGCTGGCTTACAGCTCCACTCTTCAAAAATTATGTTTACGATTATAACCATAGATGTTGATAAATTAGACACATGTGCAACTCTTGGGTATCTTTATTGAGGAAACGTTTCGCCACACAGTGGCTTCATCAGTCCATACAAAGGAGACTCTTGAAGAACAGGAGGAGAATGTTCTTCAAGATTCTCCTTTGTATGGACTGATGAAGTCACTGTGTGGCGAAACGTTTCCTCAATAAAGATACCAAGAGTTGCACATGTGTCTAATTTATCAACATGTCGGTTCTCTGAACCATTCATCTACAAATAACCATAGATACACTGTGTGTATGAAGATGGCTTAGATAGGAGGCTTTCTGGAATGGGAGGGGAGAAGGGTATGGGAGGGGGAGGGAGGGGGTGAATGATCAAAGGTGCGGGTTATCCCCCTGACAGTTCCACAGACTTGTATGTCCACCAACTGTCAACTTATCAAGTCAACACTTAAAGAGGGTGGATCAAGTTTCCTTTCGCAAGCAGTGACTGGTGTCCTGCTGTAGTTTCTTACACCAGGTAATGACCATTACTGATACACTGGGAGAAACAACACATGTGATACACTTCACAACATTTACTAAAAGAAAAGTTTTTCTTTGCCACAAGAGGTTTACCTTTGATGATTTCGAGTTTTTCTACTCCCAGAGCTCGGCCTTGGACCAGGCTCGTAAGTCCACTCGCAGTGAGTCCGCTTCAGCCAATCGTGGCTGCCGCAGTTTCGTAAATGATTTAAAATCACTTCTCTCGTAATTTCATTCATTCATATATATTAATATATATATATATATATATATATATATATATATTATATATTATTATTATATATATTATATATATATATATCAACTGCATATCAATGTCGTGCAGTCTGTGACACAGTTGTGAGCCTCTGGATGGTAATACCCTGGACTGTGCTAGTCTGTACTGATAGTAAAAGTGCTACTAGCCGCTCTGGCTGCTACTCCCGTCTTGTCACTCCAGTAACCAGTGTGCAGGTTAGCCCGGCTTAAGCTGCACCTCGTAGGTAGGTGTAGGTGGCGACAGCCAACAAATTGTGAACCAAAAATACAGAGCCTCTTGGGCTCTGTCGTACCTATTCTTAAAGTTGTGAATGCAGGCAGCGCTGACCACTGATCACTGTCCTTAACCTTAACCGACAAGGAAACGGTACTTTCCATAACCCTTGTTGCTCGTCTCTCCTCAAGACGGACTGCCAGGGCAGAATTACCCTCGAAGCCGTTAACAGGTACATTACAGGTATATAAGAGGTTAGATAGGTAGGAGCCTGCTGGATGGTAGGTGAGGGAGGTAAGGTAGGTGACTCAGGTACTTACGTCCATATCCTTGTGGGTGGTGGTGAGGGGCAGGGCCAGGTGGACGGGCGGCGCGGGCGTGGTCGGTGCCGACCCGCCCTGGGGCCACACTGACGATATCTTGGTGCCTCCACACCACGCTGTCACCGGGGAACAAGGTACCATTACTTTGATGCACCTACAATGTACAATTACTTAAGTGTAGTTAACACAATGTCAGTTACCACTTGTCAAAGGCACTTGTCGATAGACACTTAGCTTACTGTACCGTTAGTGTCATGTCGCCACAATATAACGTTAGTATGGTGCAGCTACAACGTAACACAGAATCTCTTAACACAATCACTCACATAACACTGTAAATAAAACTCAGTAACTGTGTTAAATAACTATTTTAAATCTGTAACTATTTTAAATCAGTAATTGTGTTAAATCAGTAACTATTTTAAATCAGTAACTGTGTTAAATCACTATTTTAAATCTGTAACTATTTTAAATCAGTAACTATTTTAAATCAGTAACTGTGTTAAATCAGTAACTATTTTAAATCAGTAACTGTGTTAATCAGTAACTGTGTTAAATCAGTAACTATTTTAAATCAGTAACTATTTTAAATCAGTAACTGTGTTAAATCAGTAACTGTGTTAAATCAGTAATTATTTTAAATCAGTAACTATTTTAAATCAGTAACTGTGTTAAATCAGTAACTGTGTTAAATCAGTAATTATTTTAAATCAGTAACTATTTTTAGTCAGTAACTATTTTAAATCAGTAATTATTTTAAATCAGTAACTGTGTTAAATCACTATCTTAAATCAGTAACAAATAACTCACCGTGTGACCAAACTTACACAAAAACTAATTCACACAATACGCAATACAATAACGCAATACGCTCTACAGTAAGTCACACAATAAGTTACACAATAACTCACACAATACATTATACAATAAGTCACACAATACGTTATACAATAAGTCACACAATACATTATACAATAAGTCACACAATAAGTTACACAATAACTCACACAATACATTATACAATAACTCACGCAATACATTATACAATAAGTCACACAATACATTATACAATAAGTCACACAATACGTTATACAATAAGTCTAACAAAACGATATTCTGACAACAATTGAGGATAACACCACAAACATGATAATTTCTGCCTAATAACCCTGACACCATACTGCAACACACCGTCAACAACACAGGTCTAGGACTGAGCCGCGGGGGCGGTGATCCCCCCGGAGTCGTACACAGGTAATCTCCAGGTGTAAACCTTCAGACCTATTGCAACAGTCCTTAAGACCTGTAGCAACAGCACTTGAGACCTGTTGCAACAGCACCTGAGACCTGTAGCAACAGCACTTGAGACCTATTGCAATATCACTTGAGGCCTGTTGCAACAGCACTTGAGATCTGTTGCAACAGCACTTGAGACTTGTAGCAACAGCACTTGAGATCTGTTGCAACAGCACTTGAGACTTGTAGCAACAGCACTTGAGATCTGTTGCAACAGCACTTGAGACTTGTAGCAACAGCACTTGAGATCTGTTGCAACAGCACTTGAGACTTGTAGCAACAGCACTTGAGATCTGTTGCAACAGCACTTGAGACTTGTAGCAACAGCACTTGAGATCTGTTGCAACAGCACTTGAGACTTGTAGCAACAGCACTTGAGATCTGTTGCAACAGCACTTGAGACTTGTAGCAACAGCACTTGAGATCTGTTGCAACAGCACTTGAGACTTGTAGCAACAGCACTTGAGATCTGTTGCAACAGCACTTGAGACTTGTAGCAAGAGCACTTGAGACCTCTTGCAACAGCACTTGAGACTTGTAGAAACAGCACTTGAGACTTGTAGCAACAGCACTTGAGATCTGTTGCAACAGCACTTGAGACTTGTAGCAACAGCACTTGAGATCTGTTGCAACAGCACTTGAGACTTGTAGCAAGAGCACTTGAGACCTGTTGCAACAGCACTTGAGGCCTTTTGCAACAGCACTTGAGACCTGTTGCAACAGCACTTGAGACTTGTAGCAACAGCACTTGAGATATGTTGCAACAGCACTTGAGACTTGTAGCAACAGCACATGAGAACTGTTGCAACAGCACTTGAGGCCTTTTGCAACAGCACTTAAGACTTGTAGCAACAGCACTTGAGACTTGTAGGAACAGCACTTGAGACTTGTAGCAACAGCACTTGAGACTTGTAGCAACAGCACTTGAGACTTGTAGCAACAGCACTTGAGATCTGTTGCAACAGCACTTGAGACCTGTAGCAACAGCACTTGAGACCTGTAGCAACAGCACTTGAGACCTGTAGCAACAGCACTTGAGGCCTGTTGCAACAGCACTTGAGACTTGTAGCAACAGCACTTGAGACTTGTAGCAACAGCACTTGAGACTTGTAGCAACAGCACTTGAGGCCTGTTGCAACAGCACTTGAGACTTGTAGCAACAGCACTTGAGACCTGTAGCAACAGCACTTGAGACTTGTAGCAACAGCACTTGAGACTTGTAGCAACAGCACTTGAGGCCTGTTGCAACAGCACTTGAGACTTGTAGCAACAGCACTTGAGACCTATTGCAACAGTATTTGAGACCTGTAGCAACAGCACTTGAGGCCTGTTGCAACAGCACTTGAGGCCTGTTGCAACAGCACTTGAGACTTGTAGCAACAGTACTTGAGACCTATTGCAACAGTATTTGAGACCTGTTGCAACAGCACTTGAGACTTGTAGCAACAGCACTTGAGACCTATTGCAACAGTATTTGAGACCTGTAGCAACAGCACTTGAGACCTGTAGCAACAGCACTTGAGGCCTGTTGCAACAGTACTTGAGACCTGTAGCAACAGCACTTGAGACTTGTAGCAACAGCACTTGAGACCTGCTGCAACAGCACTTGAGACCTGCTGCAACAGTCCTTCAGACCTGTAGTAACAGCACTTGAGACCTGTAGCAACAGCACTTGAGACCTGTTGCAACAGCAATTGAGACTTGTAGCAACAGCACTTGAGACTTGTAGTAACAGCACTTGAGACCTGTCGCAACAGCACCTGAGACCTGTTGCAACAGCAATTGAGACTTGTAGTAACAGCACTTGAGACTTGTAGTAACAGCACTTGAGGCCTGTTGCAACAGCACTTGAGGCCTGTTGCAACAGCACTTGAGACCTGTAGCAACAGCACTTGAGACCTGTGGCAACAGCACTTGAGGCCTGTTGCAACAGCACTTGAGGCCTGTTGCAACAGCACTTGAGACCTGCTGCAACACTTCAGACCTGCTGCAACAGCACCTGAGACCTGTTGCAACAGCACCTGAGACCTGCAGCAAAACACTTGAGACCTGCTGCAACAGCACTTCAGACCTGCTGCAACAGCACCTGAGACCTGTTGCAACAGCACTTGAGACCTGTTGCAACAGCACCTGAGACCTGTAGCAACAGCACCTGAGACCTGTTGCAACAGCACTTGAGACCTGTTGCAGCAACACCTGAGACCTGTAGCAAGAGCACCTGAGACCTGTTCCGCTAATCATTACAAGGCTGTGATGGATAAGTGGATGGACGGCAGCTGACAGTAGCAGCTTGGTTGAACAGGCGACTGAACAAGAACACCGGTCTCAGACCGAGCAACGAGGGTGGGGAGAACTCTGGAAACTAGTCACAGGTGGGTCACGGGTATCTTGGGTATTAAAAACACTAGCAACAATGAAATATCATGAGGCAAGACAGTCCCAGTATACTGTCTTGATACACTGTCCCAGTACACTCTTCAGGAACAGTGTCCCGGTACGCTGTCCAGGTAAACTATCCAGGTACACTGTCCCGGTATACTGTCCAGCTACACAGTACAGGTAAATTATCCAGGGACACTATCCAAGTACAATGTCCTGGTTCACTGTCCAGGTACACTGTACCGGTACACTGTACAGGTAAACTATCCAGGGACACTATCCACTTACACTGTACTAGTACACTGTCCAGGTACACTGTACATGTAAACTATCCAGAGACACTATCCAGGTACAATGTCCTGGTTCACTGTCCAGGTACACTGTACAAGTACACTGGCCAGGTACACTGTACAAGTACACTGTCCAGGTACACTGTACCAGTACACTGTCCAGGTACACTGTGCCAGTACACTGTCCAGGTACACTGTACCAGGACATTGTCCAGGTACACTGTACCAGGACATTGTCCAGGCAAATCTCAAAATAACACTATCATATTTTAAAAATTATATAAGCAGAAAATACCATCTTACGTTTCCCTAATTTTTCCTTTATTTTTTTTTTGCCATCTTTTTCTTCCTCTCTATCTCCCTACCTCCCACCCTCTCTCCCTATTCTCCAGTTTCTTACCCATACATCCCTCTCTCTCTCTCTCTCTCTCTCTCTCTCTCTCTCTCTCTCGTGTGAAGCTGTGAGTGTTATTACTGGTACTGCAACACCACAGTACTGGTACTGCAACACCACAGTACTGGTACTGCAACACCACAGTACTGGTACTGCAACACCACAGTACTGGTACTGCAACACCACAGTACTGGTACTGCAACACCACAGTACTGGTACTGCAACACCACAGTACTGGTACTGCAACACCACAGCTACTGGTAGCTGCAACACCACAGTACTGGTGCTGCAACACCACAGTACTGGTACTGCAACACCACAGCACTGGTGCTGCAACACCACAGTACTGGTACTGCAACACCACAGCACTGGTACTGCAACACCACAGCACTGGTACTGCAACACCACAGCACTGGTACTGCAACACCACAGCACTGGTACTGCAACACACAGACTGTACTGCAACACGACAATACTGGTACTGCAACACCACAGTACTGGTACTGCAACACCACAGCACTGGTGCTGCAACACCACAGTACTGGTACTGCAACACCACAGCACTGGTACTGCAACACCACGGCACTGGTGCTGCAACACCACAGCACTGGTACTGCAACACCACAGACTGGTACTGCAACACCACACATTGGTACTGCAAACCACAGTACTGGTACTGCAATACAGCACTGGTACTGCAACACCACAGTACTGGTACTGCAACACCACAGTACTGGTACTGCAACACCACACCATT